TATAGACTACGTTAAATGACAGTCTTTTGTCTCCAAATTCTAATTTTCGTTACAGTTACTTCCGGTCAGTATTTCCAGCTTCCGGGAACGTACAAACGCTACTTTTCGGTTTATATCTATTTAAACACTATTGAATTTGTTGTGAACTTCCGAACTTCCGTGTAAAATAGGAAGGCGTTTATCAAAGCTGCTCAGTTAAACCGTGAGTGAAAAAAATTATCAAGATCAGTGTCTCCACTTAAGTTATAGAATTTATATTAAACAACTTAAAATTTCAGAAAAGTGTTTTTTTTTTCTTTAAATAATTCTTATGGATTTTATAACGTCTTTTTTCATTGGTTATAATAAAACAGTTGCATAATCTTGATAATGTTAACAAGTATCATTGGTCATGCAATTTTAAAGTGAATATTCACAAGGAAAGGTTGGATATCATTAAATCTAATTAAGGCGCCTTAACGACTTGTCTTTTTTCTACAGAAGTTATTGCAACACTAAGATAGATTCAGATAACTCGCTCGGTGAGGCAACTTTTGGCTTATTACATGTACGTTTAAACTGAAAGTAAAGAAGCTACGGGAGTAATGATAAAAGGGAGTTGCTTTTACAATAACACAAGACCAGTAGGTAAAGTAAATTTCTACAATTGAAAATGAACACATATTTTTATGGATGTTAACCTTGCCTATTTTTGGCCGAAGACCATTTAAAATCAATTTGACTTCCTGTAAAAGTTATAAGGAAGAACTGAGTATACATTGTAAAAATGATTTCCATTGGCCATTTTAAATTACAAATTGAAATCTGGGAATCTCATTTGACATTCTAAAATAAGTGTAAATGACAGTTTTAAAATAAAACGTGCAGGTATTCAAGTTAACCAGTGTTACTTCAGCCGAGTATCCTTTTTAAAGATTTTTATTTTTTCAGTATAATCATTGTTTCATTTTTACTTCGTACACTTATACATGTACCTAAATTTTCAAATATTATGTTCTTTTTTAATGATATAATTTTACCTGCGTTGAAGAACGAAATGTTCCAGCTCTTGATATTTAGTGATGAATATTATTTACCTTTATTAGTTGTTCTATAATTAATCTTAACATTTGAAATAACATGTAGTTTTATCATTACATAGTTTCTTGTTGATACAGAGATTTCAACGATTTGGGCCTTAGTTTTGCTTTTTTTATGCTTACAATTAAAATATTACCGTTTACGATGTTGCTCGTATACACTGATCATTCTTTCCTGAAGATGGTACAATTAAGTCACCTTATTATGAAAGGCAATTAGGGACATTTCATCTGTAAATTCATAGAGATGAAATGAAGAAAATCATAACATTGAAATGTTCCCATCCCGTCTTTGGTACTATACCTTGAACGTCATTTTTCTCTTTTGAATGATTTTTTCTTGCTGAAGAATACATACTAATACACTGTTTTTCTCTTTCAAACAGAGCAATTATGTCGGGTAGCAGTTTGAGCGACACGGCAATTATCATAATATCACTACTGGGTGTTACCGTCTTCCTGATGATCCTGGCGGTCATTGGTATATTTTGTGCATGCTGTCTATATTTTATTTTATTTGAGTCTCATCCATATTTAACAATTTTAAAAGACATATAAAATTACAATTACAATATGGTCATTCTAAAAAGAATTATCTGAGACTATATGTTTACATATATTTACATATACTAACATATACAGTAAAGTTCCACCAAAAAAAGACCACACAAAATGATGGCCCCAACAGCGGAAAGGTCCCATCAGCGAGCCACTTAGCTTCTATAACTTAAACTCTTATTCTTTATATTGCCGAGATTTGCATGATTTTTGAAACATTCAAGGTGGTCTTATTAGTGGAACTCCACTGCATATACATTAATGAACACTATACACGCATATACACCAATCAGTAATCAGCATTTTGTGGAACACCGAAGTGTTAACCTTATGTTAACACTTCGTTGCTCCACCCACACCATGACTGCACATAAACCAGACATCAATATTTTCCATATAGTTTTTTTTTGGGCAGTTAAAAAAAAAAAAAATTAATAGTACACAGTTGCTAATCCAGACATAAAATTTATCTTAAATTTATCTAAAATTTATCTAAAAAAAAGCTGTCAAATAAAACACTTAAAATTCTGTCATAAGTAATGATCAGCCTCTAAAAAACCAAACTTTACTTAGTAAGAATAGAAAATGAGAACTAGATTAGCAACCATGTCTTAATCATGTGATAAAAAACCTTAACTATTATTAAGAAAATCCTACCCATGTGTAAAAATTAATTTTATTTCGACAATTTACTACCATATATCTGGAGACACCGCAAGTCTGAAGATATATACAAGTATTGTCAAAACAAATATTATCTTACATTTTTATATACAATATTATTTTAAAAAAATTAAAATCATCTACTGAATCTCAAGTGTTGTGATACATATATCTATTTCGAATGTTAAGAATTTGATAACAGGATTTTGCCGCATACTTAACAATATTTGGATTGGAGAGTATAAAGTATAAACTTTTCATCATCACTTAAATTTCAACCCACTATCTATTTCCATAGCTTTTACAAACAGGTCGTTCCTAATGTCAGAATAAACATTGCAGTACAACAACACATGTTTTTCATTTTCTACCCCTAAATGGCATAAAGGACAAATTCTATCATTTACTGCCAGACACTCATATCTACCAGTCTCTACTGCCTAATTGGGGCTACTCCACAACGAAATTTAGCATATGCAGATCTATGTTTGCTATGCAGTATAGTTTTGACATATTCTTCTGTCTCATAGTTAAACTTGAAGTTTCTATATGTTCTTAGTTTATTAAGACCACAATTGCTAGAACTATATATCAGGTGAAGTGATTCAATCCATTTGTATAGATATTCACTAAAAACATTATCTACAACTTTATCTAACAATTCTTTCTTGTGTAAATGTACATGTTCCATAGCAATATAATCACCACAGTTGTATCTTATCAAAATATCTTGTACTCTATAATTCCAGTTTTTACAGTTGGTACCAGACACATATTTACAATGTTTAAAGATCGTTTTATTCAGACGTGAATCTGGCATACTTGAAAATTGCTGTCAAGGAAGTACCGAGAGTAATCGAAAGCAGCTAACAGATCAAAGACAATTTAGTAACATATTCTGTTGATTTGTCGCTTATTTTAATATTTCTCTAATAATTTTAGTGTCTAACATGTTCAATTCAATTTGTGCAATATATGCCTTCAAAGAAATTATGTAAACTTGGCAATAAGTTTCTTTAATTGTGATAAATAAGAATTTTTGTGATATTCATTCGGTATGAAATAGTGTGATTTTCTGTTAATTCGTCAATATACTTTTGTTTTCATAGGAACAGACGTTTACTTTAATACTGATCTATTTGCCGGGAATTCATCATCAACTATTTCCGAGTAGTACACACTACACACACTTTGGGTAAAAAAGGACCGTAGGGGGTAACAATGGCAAAAAGAACAAGAGCTGCTCGTCAACTTTAATGATAATTTGCTTGAAAAAAAATCACAATCGCCACTGGTATAAATCCACAAATAACAAAAAAAAAAAGGAATGAATTTTGAATATACTTTTGTTTCCATTGTTAAATGCAATTGTTAAATAGGAAAGTACTTTCAAGGGCTTCGTATCTATCTAGTGGCCAGTACTTTTGTCACGTGATTTATACGTATAAAACCCATATACAACGATAAAATGGGTAAACAGCACACAAATGTGTACTGTTATGCAATCATATGATTTTATGATGCTTTGAAATGTTATAATACTACTTGCAAAATATCACTATAACATTATCAATATCATCATCATCATCATCATCATCGTTATTGTCATCGTCATCCTCTTCATCATCAACGTTAAAGAAAAGCGAGTAAAGAGGCAAAACAGTTGTATGTGGAGGTATAAGTGCTCTATCGGCTAATGACTAGTCATATATATTTCGACCTGACTTTTTTTAACGTTACAACATTTTCATAAAATGTTGCTGTTGCAGTTCACGCAGAACCACCATTTGTTCGTATGGAACGCCATTGCCATCTTATCATGAGCATAGGTTTTATGCGCTGTAAATATAAATAGATCAAAATAAAGATATACTGTAAATAGTGATCTTTTTTTTCTTGTGCTTTTATTTCTTAATACGATGCGTCCATGCCATAACTCTATGCTCATGCGTTATTGTATTCTGGTTATCTTTGATAATATCATGACCATTTGCTTTTTTATGATGATATTTTTCGTTGAAGGTCATATGAGCAATTTATATAAATCAACACAAGAGAACTGATATGTAGGAAATTGCGTTTTCCAAAGGTCATATGGACGAGCCATCATACATGAATTTGTCAAATTATACGATAAGTGGAATATTTGCTGTGTTTAGTTAAAAGACACAATCATTTAGTCCTGGTTAAAACATAGCAATACCAATTGTAGCACAATGATACATTATGGTCATCAAAGTGTAATTGGTATCATTTTGTTATTATGTTATTACAATAAATTTTTAATATCTGTAATGATAGAAGGCTTTCATCCTGTACATAAAGAACAATGATAACTCCCCATCAGTTATTCGAATGAGAATTACTTGTGGAGGAATTGTGACGTTTTCAACATGGGAATAAAAGGTGATATTTTTTCTTGTCAAATTTGTATTAATTCTAATGTACTTGTGCTTATCAATTTGATTCGTTTACAACATTTGATATTTGTGATTATATATAGTGACTTATGTATCAAAAATGAACTGCAAATATGTTGTTGCAAACAAATTGTAAATACATTTAAAAGATAACATTCATTGTGATTATGTTAAAACTTGACATATAATTCACAGCTTTGTTGCGGTCATTGGTTCTAAAACAATTGCATTGATCTTTAAAAAATAACGAATCAAATAAAAACTACCCCTAAAATAACCAATGGAAGTATACATTTTAAGTAAGAGATTCACATTAGCAACGAGTACTATTACATTTTATGTACATTACTAAGAGGACCATCTAAAGATCAATTCCGTAAGATAATGAGGATTTATTACACATGTACATGCTTTTCGGTGGTTTATCGAAATATATAAGTGAGTGATGTAAAACTGATAACTCCACTGTTTCAAACAGTGAGACGACAAAATTGGTTTGAATTCTTACAATCTATGCATGTCTTAGCACAAGCAGTTAGGATGGTACGCGAGTTTATCCAAAATCATTTTTCCTGTTTCGGCGTCATATGTCCTAAATTGTATTTGTTCGCCGTAAAACCAAACAAAACAAACACATATGCATTAGATGAATATCCGGATATAAAATGTTTACATAATGCAGGCCAACTAAAGATAAAATTTAATCGCACATTTATGATTTTAACCTTTGGGTTTTGTTGTAATTTCAGAAGCTGTGATTTTTCTCTTACTGATTTGTATCCAGTCAATATCTTGCGTACCAGTCGAAATTGACGATGATCCTTTTTGTGACAATTACCACGAGTTGGTTTCATATGATATAGGATGCAGGCCAGACGGTTTCTTTAAGATGAGACATCTCTCAAGAATGATTGAAGTCTCACGAGATGACGCTCTAAGTGACGTACGAGCAACGTGCAGGTAAAACAAATATATCGACTTTGACAAAGACCCACACCCGCTTTTGTTGCTAGTTTTGGTAGTAAATTCTGACTGTATGATTTTTTTTGTTTGAAATGAAAACACAGAATAGCAAAATTAGCAAAGCACAATGTAGGTGTTTGCTGTTGCCTTCGACTACTTCAATAACAGTTTCATTTTGTTATTTGTTTTCGATAACAGTACAGGTCGTTAAAAAGCCGCAGAAAAAATATTGACTAAACAAACAAACAAAAATAATACAATGACCTTTGTTTTTGAGATATGCAAAACGTGTGAAAGGTGGATAGAACTCAACATTCGTTTTTATGATGTCTATTTGAACATGTATGTCTAAAACATGCTTGGGAAATGAACGTTTGGGTTTTTTGTTTTTGTCTGATATAAGGTTTGTCCGTTCTATTTCATGGAAACTCGTTCGTTTGTTTGTTTCGTAAACAGGTTCACAAACTCGCGGTTTATTCGCATGGCAAATTCATCAAAATACACTTTAACACTTTCACCTTTATCCTTTATATTTTTTCTCTCTATTATAACAAAAAAATCTAAAATGTCAGATTCTTTCAGTGCCTGTGTGTAATTTGAATTTTTCGCTCACATTCAGTACAGTCAGATGACCACGTTCCATTATAATGCGCATAATTTGTATATATTACCACTGTTAAAACACTTAATGAGATTTTCATGTGAATATAAATGGTTAATTTATATCAATATATCAATTTAAAACACTTATCATATACTATTATAATATCTATAACTATTTAGAGTAATAATTCATGACTTTATTTGACATTCTAGTATTATAATTATATTGTAAAACGTATAAATAAATAAATTAATTTATCAAAAAATACATAAATAAACAAAAATATTAAGAAAGAATGAAAGAAATAAAAAATAAAGAAAGAAAGACAGAATGAAATAAATCAATAAATAAATAGATGAATAAATTAATAAAAAAGTTATCTATCAATTAATAAATCAATAAAACAAACAAACAAACAAACACACACAAAAACAAACAAACAAACAAAATTAATAAATTGATAAAATATATAAAAAAATATAAGTTAATACCACTACATTCCGATTTAATACAAAACCGAGTACTCAAAAAAAGTAATGATTCTAGTTTTAAAAAAAGTTGTGATAGTAGTGCTATTGTATCATTTTATGAAAATGTAAAATAATAAATACAGAACTATAGTTAAGAAAATTGTATTATACCTAACAATTAGATTTCTGGTGGTGACAGAATCTGCCTGTGCGGACCAGTGCATGTCAATATCAGCTGGCTCATTTAATTAATCGTCTGATCTTGATCTGCACTGTTCTCCATTTACTCAAAATATATTTCGAAAATTTCCCTAACATGATGAATACTAACGGTTTGTTCACATTCAAATAACGAGTCCATTTACGATATTTTGTTTAGTAAGGATTGATTATTACATTTAATCATTTTAACAATTGCAGCAATGAGACAAATAAGGAGGCCTACAATAACTGTATGAATTTGTTGTCTCTCAAATGTCCAGTGCAATATGTCGAGGTGGATGAGTTTTTAAGAAATAAGATGAACATGTTTTGCGATGGTAGCGATGTCTCAGACTGGATTCAGAAAGGTATGAAAGGGCCAATAATTGTACTTGAATGTTTCCATGAAATAAAAAATGTTAAAGATATACTATGCTCAAATCTGATATAAGAAAATATTGATAATTACTACATAGTCTCTTTGTAAATATGAAATAAACATGTTTTGACTTCACACAAAGTTGATATGTCACGTTTAAAACTCTACACACTATAGGTCGCCACAATATGAATATATAGTGTAGTTAAAAACACTGGCAGCTTTTTTTTAAAGAAAAGACCAACATGACTTATCCAATGATAAAGAACGTGACTACCAATGTATAGTTTTCTTCATTTTTATACAAATTAAACATATTCAGTAAGAATTTCATAGGTTTTAATAAATTTCTCCGATCAAAATATTTTTACTCAAAGATGAGCATAGTATATCTTTACCGAAAAATAAATGAAAACTTTATATTACCACATTCAGACTTTGGTATGACTTTTTTTTGTTAGAACTTAAAACAAAAATAGAAATAATGGTAAACAATGTAAATACATTATTGATAAAGCTATTTTGAAAGTTTCTATTAAGGAACGTAATTTGATATTATTTAATATTATAAAAAGCAGCTTTTCCAAAAACAAACATCCCTTTAAAATTAAGCTTTCACCATTGGGTATACTTTGTCACAACGTTTCTTCACAAATGTTAACAATAGATATGATTTGTGTAAAATACATAATAATTTAGGTTTTGACTTTTACTGTTTATCTACCGACGTTAAATTATTCAAAATTCAAAACTATAAAGCAAAACAGTAACATGTCAACTTTATACAGACCATAAAACACTAAGGACATACAATTGATTACAACATTTATATATATGTATGCGGTGATAATATATCTTTGATTTCAGATACATTTTTTTGAATTATACGCTTTATGTTTACAGTAGTACACGACGGGTTTTCCAACAAACGTACTTGTTTAATGGTAACTGACGACGTACTGACTAACTGTGTGGAGGAGCTCAATATTGAAAACAGAGTTCCAGGATCTAATGTTTCCTTTGCAATGGCATTGGAACTCTTTCCATCGTATGTGATCTTTATTTCAAAGAACTTAATGTCAATATATTTAAGCCAATGTTAAAATTTGCACTGTGTTTATGTATAATTTTAATATTTATTAGTTTTTCTTTCTCAGTCTTTGATTGAATGAATCTAACGTCAAAATGCAGAATGCTTACCTTAAGAATAGTGTTTGAAAGTGTTATACATAATGTGAGTTCATAAGAATGCATTGGTACAACAGGTATTAAAAAGCAAATTGTTTTACTATAGTATATAACAGATTCTTACACTGTCATTACTATCAATTCTTGCAGCAGCTAGTTAACGAAGAAGAAAACGAAAAATAACAGATAAACTTACGAGAGCACGTGACGTTTTCTTTTCTTTCTTAAACATGAATGTTTAAGGACACCTGTATATATTTATGTACGAAACCACTACGATTGTAATATGGTGTATCATTTTAGGATTATTACCGAGATGTTTCATTGTATGAAGACAAAGTTTACCTTAACACCAACTCCGAGTGACGGTTGTGTTAGCTCTTGGCAAGATATACTGATACACTATTGGACGGACTTGATGTTTACGTCAAGCTTTTTTTCGCTCTTGTCTGTCCAAGATGCACAAGAACTTCTGGTATGTTTGAATACAATACTACTTCTACCTGTTCACAAATCTTTAAAAAAGCTAAGACAGATGGAAGTTTCATCAAGATAAAAGAGAAATACATAAGTTTACGATAATACTATGGATTTAGGTAGACGATTATTTACATGTCTTTTATCAGTTCAGCTACAAGTTTTATTTGTTTAATTTCTGTTTACTACTGATATTCTTCTGTTTTCAGGCTATTGCGGAGAGTGTCTCCGGAGGAGAGATCCTTAATATTTAGAACTTTACACACGCATACAAATGCAAACACGGGCAAAAATGGATTTAATATATATCCTAATGTTGGTGTATTCTTTCAGAAAGTTCTATTTCTGGGCATTCTAGTCTATATATATACATGTACTCCTTACTAAAAAACGTCATGTATATTTGTTTTTCCACAAATATATGAATCTGGAATGCCTACAAAATTTGGAAAAAATACAATTAATTGCATGATGTATATTCGTAATAAAAGTCAGTGATGTATTTTGATGTTTGTTAGATGTAATATCTTGGCTATCCTCAAAGACTTATCAATGCTCACAATAGTCCCGGCCTTGATCCGTGCACAAGCGTTGAAAGGTATCTATTAAATGTATGACTGAAAAGTTCAAAACAGCTATATGGTAAATAGTTAGAAATACATGTAAATGTACATGTCTATTCATAATCAATTTTACTATATACTAAACGTATGTCAAGTATGACGGAAATTTACGCTTTAATTTTATATCATTACAATGGTAGGGTAGGCAGGGCTTTTGTCTTTATTTTGATTCATTAAAAATTTATATACTGAAAAGAAAGAAAGTGAGTAAAACTCAAGTCACTCGAATGTATATTGAGTATTTTTTGACAATTTCTTTTTTTCATATAAAAAGTGTAATTGAACAGGCATACTGTTTTCAGTTTTGTTTTTATCTTGTTTTTAGGCCAATTTAAACATTCATAAACATACTTTAAGCCCCAAGAATAAAAGAAAAGTACCACCACCCACCAACAACACCACCACTTGAAACATGATGCCGACCAACACAACCACCGACAAAAATAAGAACAAAAATAAAAACAACAACAACATAGTTTTAAGTTAAATATTTTCCTAATAATTGCAAGATCTTTGTTTTACAAACTTGACATATTGTCCTATCCCAGCTGTTGCATGCTTTGTTGTATTCTTAGTGAAAAAAGCCACAGATGTTAAGCGCATCCTACCGTGTACTGATAATAATGATTTGTTGTGACAAATTATGAAGGAAAAGATCAACATCAACACCGGACAATTCCGAAGACTGAAAGCAGCCGCATACAATACTCAGCTCACCGGTAAGGCAATCAACATTTTTTGTATGCATGGTCACAGCTTTTACATGTTGAAAATATATATATCGTCAATGAAAAATAAAGGAGTATGCATATTGTACAGTTTTCATGATATGATGGTTTTATGCTATAACTCTGTGCGCATGTGTTATTCTATTTTGATTAATATATTGATACATGTATAATAAGGGCCATTTACTTTCTCTTATGCTAGTTGGCCGATAAATATCAACTATTTAAAGCATTTCACAAGATAATAAAGATCATGTATTCCGGAGGTTATATGGACGACCGTCCATGAAAATGAATAGGTCAAATTACACTTTAGTCGGACATTTACTGTTGTAACCATATGTTTGATACACATTTAATTACTACAATGCCTATCATAATTGTAAGCGTAATTGTACGTTATGGATATTTAATTTGAATAGGTTTCATTTTGTTATTATAATTGCTAATTACTGTAATTATAGAATGTTTTCCATCTATAAAATAACAAGGATTCCTCCGTGTAAGTTAGAATAGTTTGTGCAACAGTGAACTCACGATGGAAATAAAAGGTGGTCTTTTTCTTGTTAATTTTTATTGACTAAATCAATTTGATTCTTTACATTGTGTGTTTTGTGATTACATTCCGAGGATAGTAAAACATTAATTTTAATATTCGTAGTTGCAAATTATTGAAAACAAAAGAAAACATTTTGTTGTGATCATATATAAGATTTTCCGATTTAAAATGTTTGTCAATTTCCATTATAACATTTCATCCTTTGACAAGTAATCTAATGATCGCTTGCCGCAAGGGTTCAAACCTCGTCAGCGACAAGTCGTTGTTTCCTTGAGCAAGAAACTTTTCACTTATTGCTTAGGACTAGTTGGTTCCAAGAATAGATTCGAAAGTGTGTCTGTAAACTTATAGCTTCCTACACAATCGAACTAAAATAAATTCTGTATAAAAGCTAAACGCGCAAGGGAAACCCCAAAATGGTCGATAAAATATCTAAATTTATTAATGCTAAGTAAAAAATTTCTATGTTAAATCATTATAACACTCCAATAATCTAAATAGATGCTAAAATGATGATAAAATGATTTTCTGATCAATTGTGATCCATTGTTTGACATTTTGCCATTTTTTAATAAAAGAATCACCTACTGCTTTTTCCTTGTCGCTGACGTTAAACATCTCATAAGTGTAGACCCTTTTTTTGTACATTTTGCATTTGAAATAAACAAACATCTTCTTATTGTAACGAAGAATTAACGGCTAATCAAGTTCATTGTCAATTCAATGCAGTAGGTTTTATCACTCAAACTAATGTTTGGTATATGTAAGTGCTTGAAATTATAATTATATCTATCAAATACGAGTATATGAATATCTATTAAAGTCTTTGATGAAATATTGACTTGTTTGCAAAAAGATATGCCCCGACGTTGCAACGAAATCACCATCCTCTGCTATCCTTGGATAACGTTTTAGACAAATATTCAAATATGAAAAAAATTACATAATGTTGGTCAATTTAAACATTAATTTAATCAACTGTCCATAAATTATGAATTAAAATTTATCTTAATTTATTTTCTATTTCAGCGCAGTGGTTTTTCTCTTTGTGTTTTTTATCAGCTCAATATTTTGCAACCCAGTCGAATTTGCTGATGACACATTTTGTAGCAGATACAATGAATTTGTATCACATGATATGGATTGCTGACCAGACGGTTTCTTTCAGATGAAGTATTTCTATGGCAGACATGAAATCACACGAGATGACGTTCTCAGTGACATACGAACAACTTGCAGGTAAAAAAATATTCTGAAAACATTTTTTTTTCTAAATTAAATATGTTGGCACTTTTTTTTCGCGCAATGATATGGGCATGTTTATTTTGTATATGGAATCACATTCTTGGTCATTCTCTAAATACAAAGTAACGCCCATCTAGAAAAAAGCCTTTGTGAGACAAAGAATAGCACAATTACAAAGGCACAGCATAAGTCTTGTTGTTGCCGACTTCTTTGAGATATACAAATTATGTGAAAGGCGGATAGAATTCACGGATAAGACCTCATTTTTTGTGACTCAAATACGCAAGCAGGATAAGAGTCCGGAAAGGGTTTTTTCCGGTGTAATGTAAACATTGAATACATACATATCACCAAAAAAAACCAACAAAAAAAACAACAACAACAACTAAAATTTAACAACAAGATATATATACTGTTTATGGCCAAGTCCCAGAATCGGTCAGTATATTCGTCAGCGGACGTTAGATTTACAAACTTTTAATACACTTGTTACTATATATAGTAACAAAATTGCCTAGTAATATGATTTCAACTGATTTTGAGTGTCACGTGACCTATTATGAATTTGCGGCCCCGGCCGAGAACTAGTTATCAGCCCCCAGAACATGTGCAAGTGCACAAACTGAAACAATGACGTTATATTTTACGTCATCAAACAGTTAACTGTAAAAGTGAAAGTAGGTTGTCAGCACGAATCGCTTTATTTTTATTATGAGAGCTTAAGCGTATTTAGTACAAACACATTTTTGTTACTATTGAAATTTGAAGAAACAAATACGACAAATTCATTCCGAAAAAAATGAAAATAAAACTTGCTTCTAGATTCTACTGCTTTGAACACACAAACAGAAAACATCTCTGTACAGAACAGTAGAAGAGTGCTGTAGACAAGAATTTCACCGAAAGAACTTTGTTGTTGTTGTTGTGTTTTTAAATGCTACTATTAGATCTACCAAGTGTATTAAAGACATTAATACACGTCAGAGTAGGGCCGAAAGGTGATAATCGGCCCTGAATGAATAATGGCCCTCGGGCTAAAGCCCTCGGGTCCATTATTCATTTTGCGGGCCGATTATCACCTTCCGGCCCTCTCCTGCCGTGTATTAACCTCTTAATATCTAGAATAACTACCGATTAAAACAGGTCCTTTTGTCTTATCAACTTGCAATGTAAATTAACAAACAAAACGAGAAATTGAAAGAACTAGCATACTAGTCCCTGGTTCGACTATAGGTTGGATACGAGTCAACGATCTGGTCTCTCTACACAAAAAAAAATAATTTTGACAAGGTAAACAAAGATGGATAAAAGGGATTACTCTCCTGTTTTGTGTCTCACCACCATGCAAGAAGAACTAGACTGGCATTCCCTTGAACATCGCAGACTGGATTGTTGACTTATTATGTTAGTTCCGTGTGACAGCCATACAAAATTGCCCCGTACTTCACGTCAGGGTTGTTATTTTTTTATTGTCTTTCGGTATCATAATTGGAGAACTTTTGCGTGTTCAAGTTATGTACCGCCCAAGCCGGTGCTAGAGGGCGCCATGGATGTGCATTTTTCATTACCCCTCATGTACAGACTCAGTCAACCCGATTCTGCATTTTTCATGTAAATTTGCTTTCGAGGGTTCACTGTTTTTTGGATATTTATGAGAGATAACATTATCTAGTTGATTATCAATCAATTAATTTCTTAAAGTAATTGTAATTTCAATGATTACATGAGAAAGTCTTGGCAATCAATCATAATCAGTTACAATAAAATCTGAAATAAATTGTAATTATATCAATTTCTGGTCAATGTAATCATTCCCAGGTCTGGCTGGATTCGGCTGAAATATCCAAGATCACTCGGAACGTCCGTGATGTGTAGTCATGGCATGCACTGTTTTCTCTTCAGTCAGTATATATATGATGATATTTTATCTTAAAATGATGAACTGCTTGTTGTTAAGAAAGAAAGATCGAAGTTCATTTAAGATTTCATTGTAGTGAAGGTTAATGATTTTTTTATTGCAGCAATGAATCACGTAAAGACTCCTACATGGACTGTATGAATGTATTGTCCCTTAAATGCCCAGCAGAATATGTCCAGGTGGCTGAGTATTTAAGAAATAAGATGAACGTGTTTCGTGACGGAATCGACGTCTCAGAGTGGATACAAAAGGGTATGAAATGGTCATTGAACTTAAGAATGTTTAAAACATTTTTGCTAAAAAAATACAACAAAAAAAAACAACAAAAAAACAAAAAAAAAAAACAATAAAAAACAAACAAGAATGTGATGTCTTCTTTTAACCAATAGCAATGTATTACACAACAGAAATCAGAATTATGACAAAGGCAAAGTAATCTATAAAGGTTAATGTTTCTGTAAAATGCGTGATTTAATAAAATAGTAACAAGAAGTAGAAGAAAAATATGAAAAACCCCGCATTTATTGAAAAGGTTTACGATCATCGTCCCGCCTGTGTGTAAAAGATATGTTTTGGGTTCCGAAAATACAGTGCTAATATATATTGGCGTTCATTTATTCAAAACACTAAACAGTGCAAAGTTAAGTCAATCCATACTGCAAAAGTGCTTTGCAATTCATTATAACATTATACATATATCGACGCAGTGATAATGTTCCAAATACATATTTGTACTATGTACATTATTTGTAGTGGTGCATGACTGGTTTTCTGACAAACTTACATGTGTAAGGGTACTCGACGAAGTGTTTTCCGAATGTAATGAAGAGCTTGTTGTCCAAAGCAGAATGCATGGACCTTACATTTCTTTTGCAAAGGCATCAGAAATTTACCCACGGTATGAAACTTTATTTCATATAACTTATTTTAAGATATTTCATCTAATATAAATAACTGAAAACAAAGATTGTACTCATGCTTTTCGTTCGTATATTACCGCCTGAAAAATTCCCCGGGCTTATTAAATCCCTTGCGATACAAGCTCAGGCTTTAAAGGCGCCGCCCTCTTACGCCAGTAAATACAATTGCACGATAAAAATGATAAAAGTACATTAATACATATAGAATGATATCAATGAGGTTTATCATTTCAGCATAACTAGCGAGGTTTTTCAATGTATGCAGACGAAGTTCATTTTAAAACCAACTCCGAATGACGGGTGTGGGAGCCCTTGGCAAGATGTGCTGATAAACTTTTGGTTGGAACTTCTGTTTACATCAAGCATTTTTACTAACTTGTCTGTTCAAGATGCACAAGATTTTCTGGTATGTTTGAGTAAAATATGAAGAAAATTGATAGTTTCAAACAGTACTGTAAATTTAGGATCCTTGATCATTTACATTTATTTATCAATTTAGGAATTCAAATGAGCTTAACATCGGACATGGTGAATAAGAACAATGAAGTGCATTGTTTTCTATTTCTCAAAATAAATTTCTTTGAAAATAAAAATAAACAAATTCAGCTTCAAAAGTATAGAGCTTGGTCAGATTGAAAATATATGCAGGCTAGTCTGATAATAATAATAATAATAATAATAATAATAATAATAATAAAAATAATAAAAATAAGAAACCCAGAGAAAAACCGAATCCATAAATAACGCCAAAACGGTTGGTTTGATTGAGCTTGTTTGTGGACGGAACTGGAAAGTGCAAGTTACCGTCACCGGTCTATGCAGAATTCAACATGTAATCACGAAAATGGTGAAACCATTTTAATCACAATTATATCTGTAATAAATTGATCCACGTCAAGTACAAATAAAATTTCTTTGCAAATCTTTTTGGATATGTGTGTATGAAAGATATTAATACACATGTTTGGTAGTATTTCTAAAAAAGTTCATATTTTGAAAATAGCAGCACTTTTACACAAAAAAAAAAAAAAAAAAAAAAAAAAAAAATAATAATAAAAGCTAAACTTAAATTTTGTAAAAATATTTATGTTTACATTGTAATAGTTTACTGTTATATGCCTTTTTCTACATTGGTCGGTACTTTTATCAAAACCGAGTATGCAAATAAGAATGTTTTGATTCTTTTCATTAGTTTCAAAAGTATCTTCTGTTCACAATTTTCTAAGTTATGACAAACTTCAAGATAGCAAAGAAAGAGTGCTTAGTTTAAAGTAATGTAATCGAATCAGGTAGAAGTTCTTGTGCATGCAGCGCTACAATAAGTTTCACACTTCAATTATTTTATCAGTTCAGCAACAACTTTATTTCCAACCTATTGGTGACAACAGATTTATTTTTTATTTTCAGGCTTTAGCACGGAATGTCACCAGAGGAGAGATCCTTAATATATAGAACCTCACACAGGCACACAAATGCAAACGCATACCAAAATTGAATTGTTGTATATCCTTATGTTTGGTGTATTCTTTCAATTATATTTCTGGCCCATGTTACTTACATATAATATATATTCTTTGGTGAAAAAGCGTCCACAACTATATTTATACGGAATTTCACATGTAGAAAACCAACGACGCCCTTCTTTTGTTTTGTAGATTTAATAAACTTAAGTTTATTTCCTCATAAGACTGTATATTATACTTTTTGTGACAAAATTGGCCCGGCCCTGATCGAGGTGAATGTATGTGGTACAGGTTGTGTGATATTACCTGAATGTATGGCGGAAAAGTGTATAACATTTGATCAATAAAATCGTTCAAATATAGTTGTGTTGTTTTATTAATCTTTCAAAAGGTACAGCCTCATCGCCACATCTGCTGACAGTCCTTAAGTATGTTCATAATTGCCTGTTTATAACAAACGTTACGTGAGATCTCTTGATAACGATATTTCAAGTGCAAGAGATAATTAGAAAGAGTTTACAAATATATAAACGGTCCTTATCAATGGGGCGACGTAGGTCAGATATGACAAAAAGTTAACGTTATTAAATCCCATTACTAAAGTAGTCATGCCATGCGCATTAAGTAAAGAAAGGCAGTGATTAATTAATACTCAAATCACCAATGACTTCACAAGCACCTGCTACCAGAATTAAGCAGTTTTACTGGTTGACAAGAAGAACTAATATTTATATGCATTATATAGCAGGAGATTTTTAAATTCTAATAACTTTTTTATCTTTGGATCGATTTTTTAATACATTTGAATGTTCTGTACATTTGTATTTTTAAATATAAGCGGATTAATTTCTTGCTTTTAAAAAAGAACACTCGACTGTTTTTTAACTGTTTTTTTTTCAATAGTTTTCTAGCACCAAGTTTTACTCTTTACCAAGAAAAAATGAAAAGGTTTTACAAATTTATTTTTTAATGTATAAAATATGAGTAAAATGACCTTTCTAATGATATAAAATGCTAAGCTGTTTCATGAAAAATAAGTATGTTATTATAAATATAAAAATACTATAATTTGCATTTTATTAGCCACCATATTTTTGCCAATCAACCGCATTTTACCTGTATGTATGATCAACAATTTGTTACTATTAATAAATTTCATAACAATAGCTTGCAACTTGCCATAGTCTGTAGGATTGACACAGATCTCTTATCTAACTATTTACTTTAACAATTCTACTTGCGTAAAGTAATGAATAGACTTTATCTTATTCCAATGTACATTTCTGATTTCGAAAATGTAAAAGCTTAAAGAGGAAGATCACTACAAACGTACGTATAATATTTACAACGAATATTTAAATAGTAACAATTTCATTTTTCTGTTTACATGTGTAATTCTTTCACATAACTTACTTAACTTCATTACTTATTTCAATTTCATCCTTTGTAGATTTTTCCCTTTTAAGCGTTTCAGTCGCTCGTAGTTAAATAATAAAGTTTTATGTTTAAAGGCTTTGTAACCTCAGTGAAATATTAAATTCGGTTATTTCTTTATAAATAATGCTTTTTGGAACTTACAATATTGATAAATCCTAATTTGAGCATCATTTTGTTATATAAAACCATGAAAAAATGTGTTACATGATCTTTAAACCATAAGATCAAATTTTCCAATAAGGAATGAATGCATATAATTTAATGATTACATTTTATATGTACAAATATTTTCAGTAGATACTTTATATATCCTTCGATGTTTGAAAATTGTTGTATGAGCATGATTACATACATATATAATGTCACGTATGAGTGGTATAAAACCTCAAGTACAAAACATACAGGATCTTTAAGGTAATTTATTTAAATGAATATATATAAATATACATTAATATTTCATTTTATTTCAGCTTTTCAATGTCAGAAACGACTAACACCGTGAGTTATTATCATAGCTCGGACTGTTTGAGTATTGTTGTTATTTTCGGGAGTGTGACTTTAGGCCTTCTGATCATAATAATAATCTGTATATGCTGGATATGTTGTAGAAGAAAAACTCAACGAGACGGAATAGTAATTCAATCTACGTCACAAATGCAACCTGGTTAGTTCTTTGTCTCCTTAATATGAAATATGTTTCTGTGTTATATTTTACATTATTGTAAGGTTGAGAGTTTTTTTTATTGTTTTTTCCTTTTCGTTTGATTCTAAGAAATTGAATATTGACAATAACGCACGGAATGGAAACTGAGGTCTTCCTCTCTCCACCAGTTAAACTGGAAAATCGCCCAAAAGGCCTTTACTGTTACAGTATTGGTTCAACGTAAACCACAACAATAACAACAACAAAAACAAAAAAATCTTGGCAGTTGTAGACCTAGATGATAAGTTTATATATTGCATGGACAGATTGTTTAATAGGGGATTATTTTTTTCAGTTAGAAAGGCACCTGTTTATATTCTGAAGCAAGTTTGCCTTCTGCAAGCATTCAGACTCTTCATAGAAGATGAGCAGTGTGTTATTTTATATATACGAAGCAATATTGCAAGATAAAGATTAACTTCACTTTGTTTAATAATTTATCTTTTTTTAAAAAAGCACTTTTATCAGAAGTTTTTTTTAACATACCATGAAAGGCATACCACTATATTTATTTGAATGTTACAAATGGACCGAACATAATTTTTTATGTAAAGAAATATCATAGTGATGCACATGAATTAAAGAATAATATTTGAATCATTCCTTCAACATCAAACGGTTTCATTTGTATTATGTACTATTTCAGGGTCAATTATGATGTCACAAGGTCAAAACTTACATCACAGCCAGTGTCAAGGTCATTGTCAACATACCATAGCGGCGCCATCTACAGTTCAGCACGGTGTTAGTGATTGCAGATATTAAGCATCACAAAACATGTGTAACATTTTTGAGAAAAACAATCTAATAAGTTTTATGTAAATTGCAGAAAATATGCTGAAATCAATAATCTGAATGCATATTTTACATGTAATCATTTACAAGAATAAATGTATTATAGTGAAACAGCCAAGTTTTCATTGTTTTAAATACTAGAGGAAAGGAATTTACATAAGTCACATTTGACATGTGTTTTCTTCAATCCATGACATTTTTCACTATGTTTGTTTTCACGTTGGAATAAAAGAAATAGAATATATTTGTTTGTTTTGCATGTAAAATCAAATTCACATATATCTCATTGAGTGGGCACCAGATGCACTATTTTCACACGTGGCGTAGCCATTCGTGATTCAAATATAATGTCAGTTTCCACTGCAAACCGTGTAATAATATTGTTTAAATCATATAATACGTGAAATGATTACCAAACTCTCTCATTATTATATTTTCTAATTGTGTTTTCATTAAATCGAAAGTAAGTAGTTTGATAGTCAAACATAAACACAATCCATTAATGGAAAAACAACAGGTGCGAAACTCTATGTTATCTTAAATTTGATCAGTACGTTCCTCCATTGATATGTAATTATGTGTAGTTATTATTTAGCATAAAATAAATACAAACTCTCTGATATGTGAATTTATTAATACTCCTAAGAGTCCAAGGGTAAGAATAATTCGTTGATTCCCATCCTGTATCGTTATTTACAAAATATTTGAAACTTTGTGTTTTATTACATTATATTGGTTCTAATAATGTATACATTCGTGCGCAGGTTTTATGCAAATTACGTCACACAAATGTCTTAGATAACGATAGGTATGCCAATGAGTATCTAATACCTACTATCAACTTTGTAAATGACTGAGGGTTGAGCTCATGTGGCATTTCGGCGTATCAGTCTAAGCAAGTCCCTTAAATAAGGTTTTATATGAATTAACTGGATGCTACTTAAAGCATAAGCGCAACTTTTTTCATATTGATTAATTTAAAGAGTCAATTTTCTTTTCTATTATTTGTCCAATACATCATAAATATTGTTCACTAATACAAGGCTGACAACTTTCATAGCTATGAATAACGATAATCTATTTTAAATAATGAATTTTTTAAAATTGCATCTATTAAAAGCTATTTCAATCCTGTCAATACTGTAATAAAAATAAATTATCTAAAGTGGACGATGATAACATTATCTACAAAAACGCAATATTTATTATTCTAATACGCTGCACACTATTTCTCCATTAAAATGAATAGGGCAAACAAGTGCAATTTAGTACACGATATATGCACAGCATAAAAACGAATGCTTGCATGTGAGATAAGACGAAATTTAAAAATGGACGTCAGAAATTACATCTACGCTAGAGCTCAACTTACTTTTATCAATTCTCTTTTTTATTACTAGCATGATAGAGTGGAAATAGATCTAAATATGAATATATCCTTGCATTATACTATAACAATGCACGGTTTATCGTTGAAATGCTTTGCAACTTATGATTCGTTTCTATCGGCCTTGTTGATTATATTCCTACGTTTTTGAACTCGAACCGTGAATTTCTCTACAACAGTGCACTCAAAATTTAAATTATATCGACATAAAATATTACGAGCATTGAATGAATATATAATGACACAAAGATCCATACTATCAACATGTCCAATGTCATGATCTTCTGACTTCAACACATGTTTATGATAATGGTCAACAAACAATAAATTAACTGTTACCAAATCAGGACCCTGGCTTTCACAGAAGCATGTTATTTAACCGCTCATCTGTTTATATGTTTAGATATTGTGGTAATCACTGTAATTAGTACATAAACGTTTTGATATTTCTTTGCTTAAATGCGTTTACTATGATGAAATTATACACGCAATGTTTAAGAAAGGTCAATGAATACTTCAGCCTTGTAGTAATAACACGTAGGATTTTGATAACACGTGCTGAGGAAAAGAATGCATGGACCTTACATTTCTTTTGCAAAGGCATCAGAAATTTACCCACGGTATGTAACTTTATTTCATAGAACTTATTTTAAGATATTTCATCTAATATGAAAATGGAACTGAAAACAAAGATTGTACTCATGCCTTTCGTTCGTATATTACCGCCTGCAATATTCCCCGGGCTTATTAAATCCCTTGCGATACAAGCTCGGGCTTTAAATGCGCCCTCGAACGCCAGTAAATACAATTGCACGATAGAAGTACATTAATACATATAGATTGATATCAATGAGGTTTATCATTTCAGCATAACTAGCGAGGTATTTCAATGTATGCAAACGAAGTTCACTTTAAAACCAACTCCAAATGACGGGTGTGGGAGCCCTTGGCAAGATGTGCTGATAAACTTTTGGTTGGAACTTCTGTTTACATCAAGCATTTTTACTAACTTGTCTGTTCAAGATGCACAAGATTTCTGCTATGTTTGAGTCAAATATAAAGAAAATTGATAGTTTCAAACAGTACTGTAAATTTATGATCCTTGATCATTTACATTTATTTATCAATTTAGTACATTGTTTTGAATTTCTCAAAATGCTTTTTTTGAAAATAGAAATAAACAATTTCAGCTTCAAAAGTATAGAGCTTGGTCAGATTGAAAAGATATGCAGGCTGGTCAGACGTTACACTGGCGTTAAATGCATACCACATTTGTTTCTAAAAAGCTATGGTTAGAATAATAAAAAAAATAATAATAGTAATAATAATAAACCGAATCCATAAAGAACGCCAAAAACGGTCGGTTTGATTGAACTTGTTTATGGACGGAACTGGAAATTGCAAGTTACCGTCACCGGTTTATGCAGAATTCAACATGTAATCACGAAAATGGTGAAACCATTTTGAATACAATTATATCTGTAATAAATTGATCCACGTCAAGTAAAAATAAAATGTCTTTGCAAATCTTTTTGGATATGTGTGTATGAAAGATATTAATACACATGTTTGTATTATTTCTAAAATAGTTCATATTTTGAAATAGCAGCACTTTTACAAAAAAAAAAAAAAAATAAAATAAAATAAAAAAAAAAATAATAAAAAGCTAAACTTAAATTTTGTAAAATATTTATGTTAAACATTGTAGATAGTTGTGCCCTTTTCTACATTGGTCGTACTTATTATCAAACCGAGTATGCAAATAAGAATGTTTTGATTTCTTTTCATTAGTTTCAAAAGTATCTTCCTGTTCACAATTTTCTAAGTTATGACAAACTTCAAGATAGCAAAGAAAGAGTGCTTAGTTTAAAGTAATGTAATCGAATCAGGTAGAAGTCTTGTGCATGCAGCGCTACAATAAGTTTCACACTTCTATTATTTCATCAGTTTAGCAACAACTTTATTTCCAACATTTTGGTGACAACTGATATCTTTTATATATATATTTTCAGGCTTTAGCACGGAATGTCACCAGAGGAGAGATCCTTAATATATAGAACCTTACAAAGGCACACAAATGCAAACTCGTGCCAAAATTGAATTGTTCTATATCCTTATGTTTGGTGTATTATTTCAATTACATTTCTTGCCCATGTAACTTACATATAATATATATTCTTTGTTGGAAAAAAGCGTCCACAGCTATATTTATACGGAATTTCACATGTAGGAAACCAATGACGCCCTTCTTATGTTTTGCAGATTTTACAAACTTAAGCATATTTCCTCAAAAGACTGTGTATTATACTTTTTGTGACAAAATTGGCCTGACCCTGACCGAGGTGAATGTATTTGGTACAGGTTGTATGATAATACATGAATGTATGACGGAAAAGTGTTTAACATGTGATCAATAAAATCGTTCAAATATAGTTGTGTTGTTTGTTCATATTAATTTATTAATCTTTCAAAAGGTACAAGCCCCATTGCCACATTTGCTGAAAGTTACGTATGTTTATAATTAACTGCTTATACAAACGTTTCGTAATATAACGTGAGTGCAAAGAGTTTACAAATATATAAACGGTCCTTATCAATGTGACGACTAAATTAATGTATGTCAAATGTGACAAGAAGTTCACGTTATTAAATCCTATTACTAAAGTAGGCATGCCGTGCGCATTAATTAAAGAAAGGCAGTGATTAATGCTCAAATCACTTGGAAAATATATAGACAATTTTTGACTGTTTCTATTTTTTCATGAAAACCTGAATGTACAGGTGCCCTTCTTTCGCCAAGCGGAAGCCAATATCATATTACATTTTCTAAGTTACGTTCTTTGAAAATCTTGATTGAAAAGATGAAATGCTTTTTGTTATCTTCGGAATAAAAATATGTAATATTTAGTCTCTGTTATTGTTTGAATTCATGTATTACTTGTTACTAGGGAAGCGTCCGAGTGCAAATTTAACGTGTTCTATAAAAAAAGATAACTCCTACGTAGGACTTAGTAACTCATACGTAGGACTTTATTACTCCTACGACGGAGATATAAAAACCTAATTAGAAGTTTTAAAGTCCTACGTAGGACTTTATAAGTCCTACGTAGGAGATTTAAAAACCTAATTAGGAGTTTTAAAGTCCTACGTAGGAGTTAAAAAGTCCTATGAAAAAGTCCTATGTAGGAGTTAAAAAGTCCTACGTAGGAGTTATAAACTCCTAATTAGGTCTTTTTTTATCTTCTACGTAAAAATTACAAAGTCCTACGTAGGACTTATAAAGTCTTCGTAGGAGTTATAAACTTCTAATTAGGCTTTTCTATCTCCTACGAAGGAGTTTTCAATTTTATAGAACACATTAAATTGACACCAGGACGCTTCCGTATGTTACACTATTCTTACTCCAAGGAAGAAAATAACAAACATGGTGAAAGCCCTAAAAGCTGTGATTTGGTAAGATGTCGTTATATTATGTAATGAAAGCACTTATATTTATATGTGTCGTTACAAACAATCACCAAATACTCTTGATCTCTTGGAAGCATAGTTTATCTCTTATCTTAATACAACTGTAACGAGTTGGCTTAAATATTACTTGTTTTTTTTGTCACTGATAAGATTATGACCAATATAACCTACTAAGCCTAAGATGTGCATAAACAATATAAGGTTTATAAAGAAATGAACAGTATAGTTTCCTTGTACTGTTTAATTTCAGAATTATGATTGCCCGTAATGTCCTGTAGATTGTCATCAACACTTATGTGCTTGCTAAAATTCTTGAACCAACTAAACTTCTTACGAGTTTCACTAAGTTGGTGAGTATTTTATTATCATCTCCTAAAATGCGGGTCTATCTTGAACTGGGTCTATGAAATATATAACATTCATCATATAATGAGCATTTCCCATATGAGTATTTCATTATTACCTTAAAATGCATGTCCATCTAGATATCAGTCACGGAAACAAATTACTTTTATTTATCTAAAAATAAGCGTTTTTCCTTATGAAAGACATTCATTTTGCTTCGTAATGTATGAATCTTTTAGGTTCATTTCCTCTAAAAGGAATCATGTTAAAATTAAAATCAATAATCCACTTATATTTTTTTGTAATTACTCTAATTATCTTCAGATTAAAACAACAACAACAACAACAACAACAACAACAAAAAAAAACAAAAAAACAACAACAGCGATAAATATTTCTGTATTCCGTTTGGTAATTGTTATTTTAGTTTTTAAGATTAATAAAAGAACTACAACTAGGTCTCTTTGATTAGACAGGACTAACTAAAAGATGAGTGTAGATTTAATACTGAATTTATCGAACGAGTTGAATAGAAATATTTCATGCGAGCCTCTGTTCATATATGAACCAGAAACACAAAACAAATTCGTAAATTAAAAAATATGTATGTTCAGTAGATTAATGTTATAAATATTATTATCGAACTATGAATTTACATGCAAGCCACAATGTTTTTGGATATCATTATAGTTTCATTTCATGCAGCAAATTGGTTTCAATACGTGTTTTATGTCTGTAATAAATAAAACGGCAATTTTAAATATTAATCTAATATTCTTTAATTGTAAACATATAAACAAATGAAACCAAACCGTCATCATTATACTAAGAGTGTCATATTTTTAACATTCTATATGATAAAAATCAGTTACTACACAATTATTAATGATTAGTTGAATATCAAAGTCTATGGAACTTGCTTACACCGATGCTTGATTCGGCTAAAAGCAGTATTCACAGAGACCTTAGTCCCCGGTAAATATCACTTTAGCCGGTCCATAGACTTGAATATTCACCGACATCTTCATAATAATTATATCGTAACTGTTATACTAAAAAAAAAACTTTTTTGGTAAATTTGTCCGATCATTATTTCCTTTGTCTTTTCAGAATCTTAGCTCTTAGTAAGCATACCACAAATGACATTGTATCATAGTTTGGGGACCTTTCCATTTAAAATGTGTCAGAATTAAATCGTATACATACGATACACATGCACAGTGCGTTAACTGGAGTGCAGGTATTAGTTACCCGCACTCCAGAGCATGCCCAGGGGATGGGCCCATTTAGTCTGGGGTTTACTTATTGTGACGACAGGGAAAGGGATAGCGTCAGAAATACCATAGATGCTCGTTCTTTGGTTACTTTTGCTGGGGTTTCATATTGTGACAACGGGGAACGTTTTTATATTTTGACATTGGTACAAAAGAGAAAGAACATCATAACACTCGGCAATCTGCTACGCCCCTTGTACAAATCAGAAAGCCTCGTGTTTCGATACTCTTTCTATTACAAAGAAATTAGTTTGTTTTCCTATTCTGGCATTTAAATACCTTTTTCAAAACGTGTAAATGTTCTGTTAGATGGGAAGCAAGACGCCTATTCATTTCATTTATTATTATTATTTACAGAAAGAACGCTTTACGTTTTGTATTCGCTAGTTAGCTGCTGAACCCCGTAAATCCTTAATCAATTGGTTTCTTTTTATAGACGGATCACACGTAAAAATTATTGATATTAATACTGCCAACTACATAGAATAGAGTGACCTGTCACTTTTTGATGGCTATGACCATGTCTGGACCAATCACAACAATTGGAAATTGTAAGTAATAGAATAAATATGTATACAGTCTGTAAGATTGACATATATCTCTTATCTAAACATTTGCTTTAACAGTTCTACTTGCGTAAAGTCATGAATAGACTTTATCTTATCCCAATGTACATTTCAAATTACGAAATGTAAGATCTTAAATTGGAAGATATTTACAAACGTACGTATAATATTTACAACGAATATTTAAACAGTTATGTGCATGTGCCATTATTTTACATTACTTAACTTCCTTCGATACGAAAAGGGCGAATGATATAATAACACTTAAAAAAATTCCACTGAGGTATTTTGACATGATATATTTTCCGATAATTTGTACAATTGAATGTCGTTTTGAGAACAAAATTTCAGATCATTCCCTCATCCCATGGTTTTCCAGAATAATAGTTTTATTCAAAAACTCTTTTCACTCCGTCGTGCATAAAATTGTCAACACTTTCGATTTTCAGTTTAATTTTGAGTATATTTTGATAACATCCTTTGTTTAAGCACTTCGTTGATCTTTGTGGAAAAATCATGTTTTTAGGCTTTTTGACCTCAGTATAGCCCCTTTAATGTGAGGAAGTAAGAAGCACATACTGCTTGCGTCCGATGACTAAGTCTTAATGATTAAATGAAACACCACATAGTAACATGTTACTATTTTAATTATTATTTCCTTTTATTTCAGTTATTCAGAAATGACTTATTATTACTGCGAGGGGTGCTTAACTGCCACTGTTGTTTTTGGGAGTGTGACTTTAGGTTTTCAAATCATAATACTAATTTGCATATGCTGGATATGTTGTAGAAGAAAAACTCAACGAGACGGAATAGTTATTCAATCTACGTCACAAATGCAACCTGGTTAGTCCTGTGTCTCTACAATTTCATTTTTAATGATAAGTTGTATTGTTAGGAGGTTTTTAGTAGCTTTTTTTCTTTACTTTTGATTCGAACCAATTTGATATTGACAATAACGCACGGAAGGGCAACTGAGGTCTACCTCTCTCCATCATTAAAACAGGAAAGTCGCCCAAAAGGCTTATACTGTGTTGGTTCAACGTAAATACCAACAACAACAGAAAACAAAAGAAACTTTGCAGTCGTAGAACTAGCTGATAAGTTAATATATTTCATGGACAGATTGTTTGATAGGGGATTAATTTATTCAGTGTGAAGGGCACCTGTTTATATTCTGAAGCCCGTTTGCCTTCCGCAAACATTCAGACTCTTCATAAAAGACATATAAGTGTATTATTTTATATATACGAAGCAATATTGCAAGATAAAGATTAACTTCACTTTGTTTAATAAATTATCTTTTTTAAAAAGCTCTTATATCAGAAGTTTTATAAAATATATCATGAAAGGCATAAAGCTACATTTATTTGAATGTAAGAAATGGACCGAACATAATTTTTCATGCAAGAAATATCTTGCTGATGCAAATGAATTAAAGAATAATATTTGATTATTCCTTAAACATCAAACGATTTCATTTGTTTTATGGACTATTTCAGGGTCAATTATGATGTCACAAGGTCAAAACTTTCATCAAAACCAGTGTCAAGGTCATTGTCAACATACCATAGCGGCGCCATCTACAGTTCAGCAAGGTGTTAATGATTGCAGATATTAGGCACCACAAAACATGTGTAACATTTTTGCTAAAACAATCTAATTAGTTTCATGTAAATTGCAGAAAATATGCTGAAATAATCTGAATGCATATTTTACATGTAATCATTTACAAGAATAAATGTATTATAGTGAAACAGCCAAGTTTTCTTTTTTTTAAATATTAGAGGAAAGGAATTTACATAAGTCACATTTGACATGCGTTTTCTTCAATCCATGACATTTTTCACTATGTTTGTTTTCACGTCGGAAGAAAGGAAATAGAAGATATTTGTTTGTTTTGCATGTAAGATCAAATTCACATATATCTCATTGAGTGGGCACACGATGCACTATTTTCACACGTGACGTAGCCATTCGTGATACATACCAGCTACAGTGAAAATTATCAAACATAGTTTCACTGTGAACATTTTCACATGTCACTTTCCACTGCAAACCGTGTAATAATAATCGTTTAAATCAAATAATACGTGAAATGATAACCAAACTCTCTCATTATTATATTTTCTAATTGTGTTTTCATGAAATCGAAAGTAAGTAGTTTTATAGTCAAACATAAACACAATCCATTCATGGAAAAATAACAGATGCGAATTTCTATATTATCTTAAATTTGATCAGTACGTTCCTCCATTGATATGTAATTATGTGAAGTTATTATTGAACATAAAATAAATACAAACTCTCTGATATGTGAATTTATTAATACTCCTAAGAGTCCAAGGGTAAGAATAATTCGTTGATTCCGATGCCGTATCGTTATTTTTAAAATATTTGAAACTTTGTGTTTTATTACATTATATTGATTCTAATGATCTTTAAATTCGTGCGCAGGTTTTATGCAAAATACGTCACACAAATGTCTTTCTAAATGACTGAGGTTTGAGCTCACGTGGTATATCGGCGTATCAGTCAATGCAATTCCCTTATATCAAGGTTTTAAATCAATTAACTGGATGCTACTTAAAGCATAAGCGCAACTTTTTAAAGAGTTAATTTTCTTTTCTTTTATTTTCCAATACATCCTAAATATTGTTCACTAATACAGAGCTTACAAAATTCATAGTACCTGTTATGAATAAGATTATCTATTTATAATAATGACTATTTTAACATCATTGCATCATTCAATACTTTATTTTATGCTTTTCAGTGGATTACTAATTTATCCGTGAAAATTATATTTGGTAATTTCACAGTGAAAATTATCAAAATATAATTTCACTCTTTTCAATGACGAAACTACTTTTTTAAGATTTTCCCCATGTGGTACCTCAATTTTATTTTTGCTGACAATTCTGACAATATCAGGCTGTTTAAAGATAAAGCAAAGCTGAAATTGATAAATAACTTAAATGTCAAAAGTAATAAAAAGAAGAAAACTTACTTCTACATGTGTTCTATTCATTCAAATTCCAATCACCGAATTTCGTCTCTAAATTTTTTTGTTTCATTTTTACAATCTGAAAAATACATTCCTTCCCCATGCAAAACTGCTCGTGATGACATTTGGGCATATTAAAGTATCCTACGAGCAATAACTGCCGTATGCTTTATGAAAAATTGAAAAGCATTGACAGCCATCACTCGAAGAATAAGTAAAACAACCCAGCGTTCTTGAGCAAGCTTCCAAGTTTTCCATTTTCCTAGCTCCTTTTCTGAATGTTTTCACATCTGTCAACACTTATTTTTTGTCTGTTACAATCCTCAAATAAGTTTTCTTTCTTTTAAAAAGGTGTATGACTAACAAATCCAAATTATATCCCTCTGAATCTTACACAATTATTTTCCTCCCATGAAATACACAACTTTAAAAAATGGCTGCCGCTTACAATTTACAAAGCCAGGTCTAATATAAATTCGCAGTAAGTAACAGAAATATGGATGGATGGTTGGACTTTTTCTCCTACAAGAATTGTTTGTTTTTATTATTAAAACAAGCGATCATTCATATTTTTTAATAAAATGAATAAATATCACCGTCATTTAACGTTGATTGGCGGACTTATTTTTCAGCTCAAGACTTCTTGTTTTTAATGAGAAATTCCGACTAAATGGGGCTCTCAATGGGGGAAACAGTTTTAATATTAACGTTAAAATTATGGAAATTTCGTTTTAACTTGTTTTTAAGCATAAAATAAAAAGAAAATTTGTCTGTTTGTTGTGTAAGATGTAATTTTATTTCATCTCGTGAACTTTAAAAACAGTATTCTCACTCGTGGCTACACCACTCGTGAGAATACTGTTTTTAAAGCCCACTCGATGAAATAAAATTTCATCTTACACACAAACAAACAAATATCCTCTATGTAATAAAAATAAATTATTTGAAGTGGACGATGATAACATTACATACAAAAACGCAATGTTTATTATTATTATAATACGCTGCACTCAATATCTCCATTAAAACAAATAGGGCAATCAAATGCATTATCACACGATAGATACACAGCATTAAAACGAATGCTTGTACGTGAGATATGACGGATTTAAGAATGGACGTCAGGAAAATTTCTTTGCTAAAGCTCAATTTATTTTTATCAATTATCTTTTTGTATTAGCACGATAGAGTGGAAATAGACCTAGATATGATTTTTTTTTGCATTTCAGTTTAACAGTGTACGGTTTAGCGTTCAATGCTGTCTAATTAATAGTTCGGTTCCTTCGGTCTTCGTGATTATATTCCTACGTTTTTGAACTCGAACCGTGCATTATTCTAAAACATTGTAATCAAAATTTAAATCATGTCGACATAAAATATTATAAGTAATGCATGGATATTTCATGACTTGTTATTAACACACAAAGATCCAAACTATCAACATGTCTAATGCCATGATATTCTACTTTCTACACATGTTTGTGATAATGGTCAACGAACGATTAATAAAACGGGACTCTGGTTCCCATAGAACCACGTGCTTAACATTCAAAATAAAAGTGCTCATGTATTTATATGTTTAGATATTGTGGCAGTCATTATTATTACCATCATTATTATTTCGAACATTAACAAACCATACATGCAACGTTTTGGCAAGCTCAGTAAATAATTTACCCTTGTACTAATAACACGGAGGGTTTTGAAAAACACGTGTCGTGGAAAAGAAGCGCGCCAATAAGTCTTTGTCACCAGAGTCGCAGTCTTTAATATTCATCTGGTTGCAGCCTTAATTTTTAACTTACAACTTCGTATGTAAATGGAAAGCGTTAAAGTGCATTATGTGACATGTAAAGGTGTATAATATTTGTTTTGTTATAATACTACTCCACCGCCGCTGCGATGGACTCACTCTATGACCAGTGAGCAATTCCCGCTCTATGAACACATCGTCCGATGTTATAAATTCCGAATTTTATCTTTGAAATGTAGAAATAAGTCTTTGTAGGGGGCGTGGCTAGTATCGTACATTTGCCACTTCCGTTTATGAAAAGGCTTTATCAAACGATTTTAAATTTTGAACGTTATTTAGAAAATTGAGAAACAGGTTATCCTAAATAACGTCAAAAAAAAACAAAAAAAAACCGACAAAATTTAAAATAGTTCACGCTCGTTTCAATGGACGGTACTGGTAAGTGCGAGCTTCAGTCCACAACCCCTAGCACTGACTTAAGCAAAAATCGGCAATTCAAAATTTAGTGTTTAAATCCATTTTTTTAAGTTTAGAAATCCGTGTCTTGAAGCATTAAAATCACAAGTAGAATATACGCAATAAACCTATATAAAAAATGTTCTTATCGTTTTCTAAATAGATCCGGCCCGCTATTTCCTGTTTAGAAATAAGATAACATGTTTCACAAAAGGGTTCATATTTTGACATTTAAATGATTTAATATGCTTATTATAAAAAGAATATTCTGACTTACTAATTAGTTTATAAATTGGTCTACTTTAAACTGGTCTATTATGCATTTCTTTTTCCCATATTAATCACAAAGTTACATGCAAATAAATATATTGTCGACGATATAATTGTGTCGAAGTCAGGACGTAATCTTACGGAAAACATTGTTCTTTAAAATTTGTTTTGGCAAGCTATCGTAAGGGAAAATGATTGCTGTTTTACTTGTTCAAATAATGTGGCAAGACAAACAAAAACGGTTTTATTTTACAAAATATGTGATAATGTTATCTTAAACGCTAAACAAGGCCGCAAATTAGTATATATATTTTCGGCTTAAGTTAGCATTCAATTCGGATGTATACATCAGAGGACACAGGTGAGTAATACATATGTCTAATATTTATATACAGTTCAAGTCACACCGACACTTTGAAAATGTGCATGGTGACCTTCCAGTTTTATTGGTAAGAGACGACCTCAAGTGCCCCTCCGTGCGTTATTGCAGGAGAAGGCACACGAGTAGAACCACCGACTTTCTTTTAGCTTGTTAGATAGCTTGTTTATATGAAACAATTCAAAATTCCTTGTGGTACTCGAACCCAAATCGGTGCAGGACAAGTGTTTCGAAATCAACGAAATCAACTTTAAATTATCAGATACGAATTGCCATCATAAATCATAACCTGTTTCATGTTTAAAGAAACATAATGGCGTGCCATTGGCTACAAAATGTTTAGTAAAGGTTCTTTGTCAGTTTTGAAAAATGTTATTGAATTTAAAAGTGCTATTAAGTACTTTTATTGCTTTGTTTGAGTTTTTTAAGTTTGCAGTCTTTTATTTTGCGATCTTAATTTAATAATTATGTTTTATCGTTTGTTCATTATTGTCCAAATTACTGTTTCTTTTACATTCCTTGTCTGTTTTTGCGTGTTTGATTCGTTAATCATTCGTTTCCCCTTTTTTGACAATTATTATTCTGATCGTTCCATTTTGTTTCTGAAATGTTGTCAATGTGGCAATGGAGTCTCTATTTGTTTTGTTTGTCTAGTTAATCAAGTTACATTTGTTGAACCTTTCTCTAATATTGCAAATTGGACCTTTAAGTTTAATTGTTTCCTTGACGTGTTCAGTTATATTTTTACAAGACGATTGCGAAATGAGATTAAATATCCAAACACGAAGTATGGACGCATATAGGGTGCATATAAAAGGCCTGATAGTTATTTTATTTTTGATTATAATATGTCCAGATTATGTTCATAAATTGTTTTGTTTACTGTTACGTTAGGTAAATTGGAAAACACATTTTTTCAGATAAAAATGTCGTATAGTCAAAGAAATACCGGATACTATGACAATTATAACGGTAGTAGCGAGAGTGGTTGTATTCTGTCAATCATTATCTTTGGGAGTTTAATACTATTTCTTCTGGTGGTAATATTGATCACCATATGTTGGATTTGCTGTAGAAAAGACAACCGTAGAGATGGAATAGTTATACATCCGATGACACAACCGCACCATGGTGAGAGTTTTCTTCATAATATTAATTAGATATAAATACTTTTTTCATTTTGCTGTATGTTTGTTACTTATTTTAAACGAAATTTAATCAATCCGGTGGAACATTACGTTTTCCCGCCGTTGAAACATGATAATTTTAGTCACCTTGTAATAGATGGCTGGTCAGTGTTCAAAGTTGATCTTTCCGTTATTTTATGAGCACGGCCAACTTTTGAAATTAACGATTGAAAACTCTTACTTTGCTAAATTCTTGTGCCTAAAAACACAAAAGATAAAAATAATAGAATATTCGTTTTTACACTCGTATTGAAAAGGCGATTACCATAGTAATGCATTGTTATTTGATCTAGCTGATCTAGCTTTAATTGTATGATTCACTAAACACTAGACAATTTTTACATAAAATCTCCACACGAGCGCGGTAGCTTTTGTGATAAAGTCCATTGTTGCTATTATATCTATGTATCAAATAAACGCTTGGACATTTCAAATATCAATGCGTTCTTCAACATACAAAATATTTTTTTAAACAACTTATAATATGATAAGAGTATAAAGGCTGGCCATTTTATCACAACATGATGAAAAAAACACAAGTAATTTGTTTAATAATAATCATAGTGTATCACCTGGCTTTTAAATGCGTATTGTTGTCTTAAGTTTCTATATTTATGGCTTCATTTTGATTTATTCTGTACATGCCTTTTGCAATGAATAGATTAATGATTAAACACAATTTTTCGCATGGTTACAATTTTGCAAATCATCTAATTATTGATATATTTTCTTTTCATATTTAGTAATAGATAGTAAATTAAATGACTTAAAGGCTTTCAAAATGCTGTTACATGTATCTTTAAAAACCCAATGTCTTCATTTGTTTGGAAAGAAAATGATTAATCGAAACATTTCTTTCAAAAGATGTTATGACACCCTTCAATTTTAGGGCAATATATCAACTCTAGTATCAGATAAATGTACGTACATATATATGTATACATGACTTTGTATGTTATATAGCTCCATAAATACATGTGTACTTGAATATTGTAGGATCGGTTATGTACACCCAAGGCCCCAGTTACCAACATGCACAATGTCAGCAATGCTTGCCACCAGCGCCTGACAATGGTCAACGTATGGCAACGGCACCGGCACCAAATCAGAATCAAGATTACGTGAACAGAAATTCAGGTCCAACATGTCCAAATACCATAGTTAACATGTGATAGATAAAGACAAATAACAATATGTTGCATAATAGTAAATGCCTATGACTATTTGAAGAAATTAGAATACTTATGTACACTTGTATTGATGACAAAATGTAAAAGGCATTTTTCAATTTAGTTTGTAGTTTAAAACTGTTTTCCACGTTTAATAACATTTTCCTCACAGCCTCATAACATAGTCACAGAAATATTTGCTAAATTGTAGCAAGTGCACTTCAGCAATTGCATCAGAAGACCTACACATGTGTTGTTATTGATACAATATGTTATATATGTATTTTTGTTTATTACATTGTATTCTTTTAATTTTATATAAACGCGTCTGTATTAAATCTCAAAGCAAACTGTATTGTCAATCATAAAGCAGTGTATGTCTAATTGGGATACGACTGCATGTTAAATTTTGATAGTATGTACAGACATCACAAATTTTTATACTTGAAACAAATAATCAAAAGACAAATAATTAAGATATTTTTATTCTTCTTTTCTCTCAATTTGTATAGATACACATTTGATTGTGTTTTTTTTTTTTTGCTGTTTTTTTACAAATTGGATTTTGTATTTCCTTCCTCTGTATTTCAAATTTGTTCACACATTTTATCCTTTGTCATAATTGTGAATTATCTCATTTAACTATTACCTTTTATTGTGCCATCTACTCAAAGCATGATTTCTTATATTTACAACCACGGTTATTTTACAAAGGTCAGTTTATGTACCCAAAATATTTTTTTATCAATTGTTTGTTTCGTTAACACGATAATCTTATCATTAAGCATATATCTACGTTCAAACATCCAAATTAGCAGAGCGTTTAAATCTATCATTGCATATGCGGTCTAGAAGTGCCATGATATATGACATAGGCGGTTCCACCAGCAAAACATGTTTTTCAAGAACTCAAACGTTTACTGGTAGGTTGCTCATTGCATTTTACGGAGCAACTATATAAGGTTAACTTTTAAACTATAGTGAGAAAACATGAATTGATGTAAAATAATCAAGAAATCGTATTCAATGATCAATATCTAACATTAAATGTGTTATAAATTACAATATTGTATAGCCACCTCTTATCTGCAAACAAATCAGTTATGTGTAGAATCGTTTAATATCTTTGAAAAGCGAATTAAAACTGTCGCAATGAAATGGCATGTTAGATTGTATTACGAAAAGGTAAAATGTAAATGCATTGAATGATTAATGTATCATAGCGTGTTGCAGTTTTATTTTATCTAAACGCGTTCACATGATTTCTCATTGGAAAGAAACGTTAAGGCCGTTATTATGTTGGATCCATAAGATAATTAGAAATAAGACCATTTACATGTATTTACATTTATTTGTAAGCAGCAAACATCTAAATCCAAAGATAGAGAGGATAGTTGGATAGAAAAAGTCATGCATTTACACTTACAATATTAGTTTTAAAGATTTTGACAAGTAATATGGTCCTACATGAACTCAGAAAATCAAGGCTCGTTCGAGTACAGAAATTCAGCTCCTCAAGACACGTGTTTAACACTCAAATATAAAGTGCATAAAGAAGATTTACACGACACTTTGCTACTGAACAAAATTGAAAAGTATAACTGCATGTCAACAATAAATAGGGACACAAATTTGCAGTTTTATTACTTGTAACATATATAAAAATATGCGTAATGTTTTGTTAAGTAACCGTCGCAGATTTAACACGTTATTTTTTAGTTAAGATCAAAACCATGATTAACACAAATGCACAAGTACGTGATTTTCTTACTCTTGTTACTTTAAATAAAAACAAATTCATCCATGATCTAAACTGGTTATGAGTATCATTTGACAGATCAAAGTCTGCCCTCTGAACATAAGTACATATAATATGACGTCAATTTGACGACATCAGACAAGCTTGCTGACAGTTAAAGAGCTGGGTTGTTGGTACGGATTGCTTTTGATGTTATTATCAAAACGTCAGCGTAATTTGTATAAACACCCAGTAACTGTTTCTGAAAGAAAAATTCAAGGTATAAAAATAATTATATTTATCAACAAGTGTATTAAATGTCAACAAGTGTATTAAATGTATTAATACACATCAGCGACGGAGGAAAGCGATATTCTGTTCTTAATGAATTATGACAGTTGGACAATAGCGGGCTGATTAACCGTCTAATAATTTCCTGTGTCAGAGGCGAAATCTAATAGCAAGCAAAATGGTATTTGAAGTAAGTCTGATATGGCGATAAGGTTATTGTCTACATGCAAATAAACAAGTGTATTGATTAATATTTATCACCGGCCATACTCTGCCGTGTATATGCAAATAAATAAGTGTAATGATTAATATTCATCATCGGCCGTACTCTGTTGTGTATAAACCTCACTGGCAAAATTCTCATGTCTTCGTTTTAAAATTGTCATTCATTATTTTGTAAATGTCCTCAAAATGAATACATTTGGCAGTCATAGGAACAAAACTGTTCTCCTTGTAAAGAATATAATGGTGGTTTCCTAACTTGACCCACGTGGGTCAGGTTAGAGCGTTAAGATTTCACAATAGTTGTCATAGTGAACATTGAAAACGTGTCAAATGACTGACTTAGACTTTTCCGATCATACAACATCCAAAATATCTACAATTGTAACTTTCAGTGTTTGTTCAAGTACATGACTAAGTCTTGTTTTAAAACTACTCGTGATTCTGTCGGCGTCAAAATTACGTTAAATATATATAGATGTATTTACGCTTAAAACCAAAAATATGTGGAATTGATACAGAAATTCATGACTGAACTTTAAAAAATGTCATTTAAGCGTGATTTGAGTACACAAGATCATTCTAATATTTTTGTCACTAATTTGCCTGAGTATCCCTTTAATGCTTTAAATTTTATGGCTAACAAATATGTTATTGTGTAAGTAAATCTGAAATAATGATAAGATTATTTTCCACCTGCAAATAAAAGCATTGATAAGATTATTTTATGCCTGCAGATAAAAGTACTGATAACATTATTTACTACCTGCAAATTAAAGTAATGATTTTAAGATTATTTTCTACCTGCAAATAAACAAGTTGTATGCGACAGCCTTATCTTATTCAATCATTTTATAAAATGCTTTGACAGATTGTTGCAACAGGAAAAGAATTGCAAATACTTTTGCTTACCGCAACCTTACATTTTGATATGTACGTGTACAAATAATTATTATGTTCTGTTGATAATATGGCAGTATTCATGTTACCTTAAGTGCGAAATCACCGTAACAAATTATATATATTTCTGTTATTTAGTGGATAATTGCTTTAAAGACGAACAAAGGTAACAACATACTTTATATTTTCATTTAAAAACTATTGATATGATTGATTTTCTTTCTATATTTCTTTTGAAATTCATCTTTATATTGAAATTAATAACTGATTTTTCTATATTTTTATTAAATTTCATATTCTGATGTATAAAACGATTTTTTAAAAAAATCTTATCTTCCACGTTTGGTTACACTCACTTTATTGCAGTCTGGATTTAAAGAAGGTCTAAAGCCACATTGTCTTCAACTGTGTCTTATAAAATATGTACATAATTAGCACAAACCATAGTAATTAAAATCACATCTGATTTAAACGGCATAAGGAAACGTTAAAATGTACATTATATAAACTATAAGGAATAGCTTTGAAGTTCTTTCTTTAAAGAACATTTGCACTTTTTAATTAAATTTGCAATCGTGATCGTGTACTCTTTTTTTTCAAGACATCAATAATTTAACTACATTATTGATCCTGTTAAAATGTTGTGTTTTACCTATTCAATTTTCAATTTTGATCCTTTCATTATATATAAGATCCTGATAATTACAAAATTTGTATTCCTTCTGTAAATAAATACGAGTTACATGTAAAGGTTTGCTTACATTAAAAACCTTTTATTTATTGAATGCCTTTAATTCGATAGCAGAATAAAACTTATATAAGTTAACCTAATACCATACCACACAATACCACCAATTTTATATATTTATTAATTCAGATAATGAATTTACTGTTTGTTTTATTTTTGCAGAATAAAAATGTCCTATTATCGAAATGGCAACAGTGGTACATATTACCACCATGATCGCGATTGTTGGGGTGCCGAATTCGCAATTTATGTCTTCGGGGGGATAATAGTATTTCTCCTGGTGATCATTTTGATCTGTATATGTTATATTTGTTGTCGCAAAGACAGTCGTCGTGATGGAATGGCTATTTATCCGATGGCACCTCCGATGATACAACCACAACATGGTGAGTAATCTATCGAACAATTTTACATTTATTTATTGAAGAACAGTCGCAGAAAAAACATCGATGAAATTGTAAGGTAGTCACCTTTTACCCGCCGCCTTTTAAAATGGTATCTGTTAATAACGTTAAAAATTTTAACTTCTTGATTTGAATTACCTCTAAATGAAAGATATTTTAGCAAACAACATTTGTAATGCATTTAAAAAAACAATGATGCGCAATAGATACACTGTCACAAAATTGGTATTATGATGAAACCTTGAAGGTTAGCCAACAGAACAATTTATAAAATAGTTGCAGTTTGGTTTAATGCGCATGCTGATGGAAGGCGGCAGTAAAAGCATCCTAAGGTCCACTTCTTTGGCCTTGTTTATTGATGTACGTTTGTTCGTTTGGATAATAAGAAGTATATAATATCACCTATCATAGCAAGATATTGTTTGCAACATATGTATGAAATTATAGTGAACACTTGCATGTAATTAGCATTAATATTAATATTGCTCTGTTCTGTATAGAATTTATACCTTTAGCCTTACTATGGTACTGCTGTTTGAATGTTTCAGGAGGTGTTATGTACACACAGGGCCCGAACTGTCAACATGTTCAATACCAACAACATCAACCGCCTGCACAGGTTCATGTTAATGCCCAACGTATGTCTACAGCACAACCAGGAAACCGAAACGATGTCTCCGAGTGCAGAAATACAGCACCACAAAACACATGTTTACCACTTGAGTAGAAAGAATCGTAGACTAATAAGAAAGAATAAATGATGTGTAAGGCAATGTACCAGATCGTTATACTTGTCAACATTTCGAAATATTGAAGTGTATGACATGTTTTATGCATATAAACAGTCAATAATGTACATTATCAACCTGAACTTATAAACATTTGCACTTACAAACATCAACAAATTCTAAAGCTGATAACAGCCTGATTTGCCAATAAACTTTGAAAACTTTGTAGTTTTAAAATAAATGTGAGAGTATAGCAGTTGTTTGTCCGCTCATGTCCATAAACTCACGAAATCAAAGTCAAGAATGGTATTATTATGAGCACCAATTTTCACAGATTATACGTATACCCTGAAAGAAATTGCTTTTATTTTTTATTATTTGTTTCACTAACTTGATAATTATTTAAGTGTTTCTTTATTTCTGTCTATTTTATCACCACATCAGAGTTGTTTGTGCCGTGTGGAGGCCATAAAAAGTTACCCCGTAAATTCAATCAGGGATGTTACGTATATTTGCGATCCTTAAAGATTATTCTTCACGACATTATTGTTGCATGCTTGTGGTACGTATGTTTCAGTTCTTCCTATTCGGCTATTTTCTATTTTTTCTAACTTGCATATTGTGTAATCACCCTTAGGGCATAATGTAGAACTCGTATGCAATGATCAATATCTTAAATCAAATGCGTTGGCAACATTTTAATAAATTACAATACTGTGTAGCCACCTCTTATCTGCAAACAAATCAGTTATGTACAGAATCGTTTAATATCTTTGAAAAGCGAATTGAAACTGTCCGTAATTATATGTATAATAGATTGTATTACGAAAAGGTAAAATGTAAATGCATTACATGATGAATGCATCATAGCGTGTCGCATTTATTTTATCTAAACGCGTTCACATGATTTCTCATTGGAAAGAAATGTTAAGTCCGTTATTATGTTGGATCTTTAAAATAATCAGAAATAAAAGATCATTTATTTACATTTATCTTTAAGCAGTAAACATCTAAATCCAAAGATAGAGAGGAAAATTGGATGGAAAAAGTCATGTACACTTACAATATTACTTATAAAGATTTTGATCCTATTATGGTCCTATTATGATTATGGTCCTATTAAAATCTCAAAAAATAAGGGCTCTATTTCGAGTTCAGAAATTCAGCTCCATAAGACACGTGTTTAACACTTAAATACAAAGTACACGGAGAAGATTAACACAACATTATCACCGTGCATATCCAGTAACGCTGGAATATGCAAATAGCGCAAACGTGACGCCGAATCTGTGCAACGCTATTGCCAAAACGAATAACACAGTAAGTAAACGAACCAAAATATTTTATTCTAAATCAAATTTAAAGAAATGAATAACCGCATACGGCTGCTACGACATTATACTTAAACAAGCATTGCAATTTTTGTTTTTAATATGTTTACTTTTTAGATCGTTGGAAAGACAACCTGATTACTGTTTTGAATGGAGTTTTGTGTTTTGTCAAATGAATATGTACATTTAAAACATTTAAAACTTTATTTTTTCATATGCTGTATACCTAAGACATTTGTAAATATACTGTGCCGTATAAAAATAGAAGGAAGCTCGTGAAATAGCTTTTAGCGACATTTAATGAGATCACCTCCGTTGCTTCAGTGCTACAATCACGAAATCGGCGTTGCCTCGTAAAAATGGTCTCAATTACGTTATATCTGCTAAATTACGTATTGTATGTCACGAGTAGATTGGAAAATCTATAAGGTACACCGAAAGAAAAGATCATAAAGAAATATGTACGTTATTGTATTTTAAGATATTAACTAGACTAAAAATCGCCATCAATACCCTAGTCAGGTCGTCATTTACACGAATGATCTTGAAAAATAAACATGTTCATGGAAATATTTTTGATGAGGTTTAAAGCATAATGTCTCAGCAACAGTATGCTCATTTCTTCTAATTTGATTTACAATAAAAATGTTGGTCCATTTTTTTTTATCGCAGTGCTCGTTTTGCCACTTAATTGCTCAATTCTGTGTTAATTTTGCACAATTCCAGCGTTATTTGCACTTTCCTGCGTTGCTGGATATTCACAGGGATTATCCTACTGAACAAAATTGAAAAGCATAACTGCATGTAAACAATAAAAAGGAACACAATGTTGCAGTTCTATTATTTGTAACATATCGAAAAGAATTTTTATAATGTTTTGTTAAGTGTCTTTCGCAGATTTAACACGTTATTTTTTAATTAAGATCAAAACCATTAAAACAAATACGCCAGCGCGTGAATTCCATACACTTTGTATAAACAGAAACTAAATCAACCATGATTTAAAATGGTTATGAGTTTCATTTGACCGATAAAATCGGACCCGCAGATAATATTACGTCAAATTTGACGACATCAGACAAGCTTGCTGAAAGTTAAAGAGCTGGGCTGTTGGTACGGATTGCTTGATTTTATTATTAAAACGTCAGCGTAATTGATTAATCTCCTGTTTCAGAGCTAACAAAAAATTATATTTGTATAGCGATAAGGTTATTGTCTGCCTGCAAATAAACACGTTTGATTCGACAGATTTATCTTATTCAAGCAATGGTTTGATAGATTGTCGCAAGAAAAAAACAAATGCCAGTATTAATTTCTTTATACCGCAGCCCTACATTTTGATAGGTACTTTTGTTTTATGTGCAGTTTTCATGTTATCTTAAGAGCGGAATCACTGTAACAAATAATCATTTGTATTATTTAGTGGATAATTGCTTTAAAAACGAACAAAGGTATGTAACAACATTCTTTTTCACATAAACCGCGGCACAGGAGTGTAATAAAGCCATTTAATAAAAACGATATTACACTATAGTGTGTAATTATACTTTGACGTGACATCACTTTCGCTTTATATAAACATAGCGTTAAAAACGCGCTAATGTTAGCGTTACACTATAGGCACGTCATTGAAAATTACTCATTTTAACAGTTTACTGTTCTTATTTTATATATGTGATAAATAGAATATTTGTGTAGATTCAATACTCAATCTATTGAACTCGTTGAATAAAACAATATTATGCTCGCCAGAGGCTCGCATAATATAATTTTATTCAACTCGTTCAATAAATTTAGTATTAAACTACACTCATTCAATATCTTCTATTTATATTTTCATTTTAAAACCAAATGTTAAGTCAATATATTTGCATGTCCATAATGTTCAGAACAATTCAGATAATTGATATTTTTCTCTATATTTCTATTGAATTTCAAACGCTGATATTTTTGATTTTCGTTTATTGTTATTGAATTAAATACGCTGATTTTTTCTGGTATTTTCCAGACTCATCTTGTCGTCCACGTTGAGGTACACTCGTTATATTGAACTCTGATCTTAAAGAATGTCTAACACCATATTGTCTTCAATTGTGTTTTGTAAAACATGTACACAATAAGCAAACACCATAAGAATTAAAATCACACCCGATTTAAACGGCATAATATATACATTATATAAACTATAAGGAATAGCCTTGAAGTTCTATGATAAATGAAAAATTTCCCTTTTTGATTAAATTTGCGAACGTGATATTGTACCTATTTAATTTATCATGTAATCAATATTTTAACAACATTATTAATCCCGTTAAAATATTGTGCTTTAACTATTCAATTTTCATGTTTGATCTTTTCATTTAAGATAAGATCCTGATTTATCAATGTCTGTAGTAAAGAAATTTGAGTCACTTGTAACGGTTTGCTTACATTAAAAGCCTTTTATTTATTGAATGCCTTTTTAAATCGATAACTGAATTAAACTCAAATAAGTTATCTTATACCATACCACACAATACCACCGCTTTTTATATATTTATTTATTCAGATAATGAAATTTCTGTTTGTTTTCTTTTTGCAGAATAAAAATGTCCTATTATCAAAATGGCAACAGTGGTATATACTACTACCATGATCGCGATTGTTGGGGTGCCGAATTCGCAATTTATATCTTCGGGGGGATAATAGTATTTCTCCTGGTGATCATTTTGATCTGTATATGTTATATTTGTTGTCGCAAAGACAGTCGCCGTGATGGAATGGCTATTTATCCGATGGCACCTCCGATGATACAACCACAACATGGTGAGTAATCTATCGAACAATTTTACATTTAATTTATTGAAGTACAGTCGCAGAAAAACATCGATGAAATTGTAAGGACTGGTAGTCACCTTTTACCCGTCGCCTTTTAAAATGGTATCTGTTAATAATATTAAAACGTTTAATTTCTTGATTTGAATAACCTCTAAAAGAAAGATATTTTAGCAAACAACATTTGTAATGCATTTAAAAAAACAATGATGCGCAATAGATACAATGTCACAGAATTGGTATTATGATGAAACCTTGAAGATTAGCCAACAGCACAATTTATAAAATAGTTGCAATTTGGTTTAGAAGGCGGCAGTAAAAGCATCTTAAGGTCCACTTCTTTGGCCTTGTTTATTGATGTACGTTTGTTGTTCTCATTTAACTCATTTACATAAAGTACTTTTGACGAAGATACTAATTAAGTAGTACACTGTTCTAATAGACTGATACATTTTTTCCTTCTATTTACTGCTTTTTTGTTCCCCGTCTATTCGAAGAAAAAGGGGGATATAGAAGCATCTCCGTCCGTCTGTCCTTCCGTCACATTTTCGTGTCCGGTCCAAAACTTTGTCATTTATGAAAGGAATTTGATATAACTTGGCACAAATGTTTGTCATAATAAGACGATGTGTCATGCACAACAACAAGAACCCTACCTCCGAGGTCAAGATCGCACTTGCTCATTCAAGGTCAACATTGTCTATTTTAGGGTATATTTCATGTCAGATCTATAACTTTCTTATCTTTCAAGGGATTTTGTAAATACTTGCCACAATTGATCACAATAATGAGACAACGTGTCATGCGCAACAACAGTTCACCTACCTCCAAGGTCAAGGTCACACTTGGAGCTCAAAGATTAACATAGTGTGTTAAAGGGTATATTTTGTGTCCAGTCAATAATTTTTTATCAAAGGATTTTAAAAATACTTGGCACAAATAGTCACTTTAATAAGACGATGTGTCATGCGCAACACCTGCATCCCTGTCTGCAAGGTCAAGGTCACACTTAGAAGTCAAAAGTTAACAGAGTTCCAGGGATTTTGAAATAACTTGGCACAAATAGTCACAAAAATAAGACTATATGTCAAGTACAACACCTGCAACCTACTACGACTACGACTACTTCTACTACCACTACCACTGCCACTGCCACCGCCACCGCCACCT